CGCAGGTCATGGCCCACTTCTGAACCAATCACTGTAACCAGAAGAATATAGTAGCTCATTGACTATTGACCAAACCTTGGTTATAAGCCCATCCCTAGAATTGACAGGTGGAATCAGCCACACCTCAGGTATAGACTAAGTTGGGGGTGGGATTCACAAAATGAAAAATGGGGGTGCAGTTGCCGGACAAAGAAGACATGGATATCAGGTAAACAGCAGCTGGTAAGTATGAATAGAGTGACAGCCATCCTAAAAGACATATTTCCAACATGGAAAAATAGCCTACATAGGCTAGGAGTTTGTAGGAGTAATGGGGCTTTTTCCCTCTGTTCTCAGGCAGAAGCTCAAGAGGCAGACTCAGTCTGGCAATTAGCTGTCAGCTCATCACCAATTCAAATGTCCTGGAGTGGGCCGTGCTGATGATCTGTACTTGCAGTAATCATTTGGCTGGGTGAATCAAATTATACTTTCCAATGCCACTTCAAATCAGGATTGCTATGTCTGCATTCATTTTCAGTGGTATTACCGTGCAAGTTATTTTCTTTGATATTGACTATACGTGGGCAAGGGAGGAATTAGGCTTCTTTTAAGTCCTGCTCAACAGGAAAGACCAAAAAGGTTTAGAGATTTGTGAGGAGACTAATTAGGATCCATTCCAATTTAATGGCTAGGCTTTCACACTGAAATAGATAGGGAAACATGTTCTGCCCTTGCAAGGTAGAGATTTTCCTTCCAAGTAGCTATCTGATTTGGAAACCTCATTCTTTCATAATGCCACGTGCGGTGATCAATCAGATGTAATGATCAAAAGGAAGTTTGCCACAATCAATCCCGATAAACAAATAACTGCTATAGTAGCAAACCTAGTGTGTTCTTCACTTCAAATTCACTTGCCAATAATTGGCCTCATTAACGTCTGTGAAGTTAGCTGTTCACTAAATTTGGGCAAGCTGTACATTAGATGTGTTCAGTGGTTTGCAAACCTTTGGGAATAACAGACCTACTGAATCAGCATCTTGCTAGTTCCCTGAAAATGAACAAGCTAAAAAGCAAGGAGACGGCAAGGGATCTAGAAAAAGTGGAGCGAACAGAAACTTCCTACCACCTTGGAATAATTAATATTTTCTTTCTCAACCTATAAAATGAAGGCCAGCTTTGCATCTTTTTTTAAAGATTTGATTTTGACAGAAAATGAACTTGATTTCTTTGTACCATCTAGCTTTCAAATTACCCTGCCCACATCTGTCAGATGTTTTTGTTGTTCAATTATAAAAACTGTATCCAGACTGGATTATGAGAATGCTGTTTACAGGCACCATAACCACAGATGCCCTTGGGTTGAACATCAGGCTCACTGCAATCTTCCCCAAGAAGGAAACATACTTCCAGCTGCTGCACCAGACCCATCCTTCTTGGAGAGAGGACGAAATCACAGAAAGTGAACCCTTTCTGAAATATCTGAAATACTCATTTGGGGAGATGGGAGACAATAAAAAGAGTGGAAATAGACTTAACTAATTCACTTACATTTATATGGCCTATTCCTATAGCAATGGCCAGAGTGGGCAGTGAACACAACTATTCAGTTTGCCTGGGGCTTGGGGAGCTTTTATTGTCCTGAATTACCCTATGTGTCAGCACCACCAACATTCACCAATAATACCTCATTTTCTACTTCATTTAGGTTTCTGCCATCACTGTCTGTGAGTCGCAAGAAAAAAAAAATGACATTTGCTTTCCAGTCTAGCTTTCCTTCCACAAGAGCTGGTCAGAGAAAGTTCAGCCTGATGTTATTTTGTCAAAGGAAGCTTTAAGTATCTGTGGAAGACACAGGTGATCATTGGATGACTACTTTGCCAGTCGAATGAGAATCGAATCAGGTACCAGTTATTCCAGTTTCCCCTTGTTTTTTATCTGATGGTTCTCACCCACCCACTTAACTTTGTAACCTATTTGACTACAACTAGTTTTAATAACATCTGCTGTGATCCAGCAAGATACTGACTTCGCAGATCCTCAGTATTGCAATGGCCTCCTAACTGGCTTTGCAGCTTCTAACTCTTTTCCCCATCTCTCCATCCAACCCCACCACACTCCCCACCCACACAGCGGCCTGAGCAAGCTCTGAACAATGTAAATCAGCTCATGTCACTTTCTTCCTTACAGCTCTCCAGTGGCTTTCCACTGCTTGGAGTACGCCTGACCCCTTAGGAAACCCTGTGTTATCTCTCATCCTGGCCTCCCATGCTGCCCTTATATTATTCCATTCTAGACCACTGTCAATCTGTCCTTTCCTCAAACACATCAACCTCATTTCTGCCTTAGACCCTTTGGTCTTTCTGGTCCCTCTGCCAGGAACACTTTCCATGGCCCTCTTCGTGCCTGGCTTCTTCTCATCCCATGGTTCTTGGTCAAATACCTGCTGCACAGAAAGGCCTTCCCAGTCCCCTGACTCCAACTCCCCACTGTTCTTTATCAAATCACCCTGGTTATTTTCTTCATAAAACTTGCCACGATTTCAAATTATCTGGGTTTTTTGTCTATATCTCCCCACTATAATGTAGGTTCAAAGTGGGTATAAACCTCCTCTGTCTTATTCACAACTACATCCTCAGTATCTGCAGTAGTGCCTGAAAGAGTGCCTGACGTGTTCTAGGAAATGACATGAATGTTTTGAAACCCCAAGTCACATTATAAAGAACCACCATTTTATGTGCCAGAACTGGTTTATTTCGAATATATGTAAAGCTAATACTAGAAGAAGCAGTATCCCACTGTTAATTCCCTTGACTCTCCCCAGAATATGGCAATTTGCATAAGAATCATTTCCCAAAATAAGAGAAAGTCTTTGGAAATTGAAGAAGGAAAAAAAAAAACCTCAGACACACTGGAAAACTCTGGGCTGCTTTCTTATTCATTATAAGTAAGACAAGGTTCATGAGAGTAAGCATCAGGGCTTGATCCTTTAGAAGTTGAAAATTAGATCAAATGAATTGGAGGACAACTACATCTTGTGTTAATGTTTTCCTCCTCGAATGAAGAAAATGAGATGATGTGAGCCATGACTCCATTTGAAAATGAAACTTTGTATTTCTATTTGATTCCACGTTAAAGCACACTGTTTTTCATTTTAGACTTCTCATGTTGGTAAATGTTGCAATACTTTACAATCATTAGGCTCAGGCCCATTTACTATAAGCAAGCAACACACGCACAGATACATCATGCCCATAAAGCATCATTTCTAAATTACACAGTAAATAAATGAGACTAAACCAGAAACCCAAGTCTCACAACTCTTACCACAAATGTGAAAACAAACAAACTTGGGTCAAAGTTCCCCACTCTTAAAAGGTGTAATTTATAAACAGTCCATTACATTCTTATTATGCCAAATAAACTGATCATTCAAGAGCACATTGTATGCCTGACCCTAACTCATAACAGACAAAAATTCTTCACGAATACAGCTAGACTAATCAAGATTTTGGCTACCTTTTGCAAAGTGTGATGCATAAGAAACCTGGTCTTGCCAGGAACTTTGTGTTGATTTCTGATTAACTGATTAGAGAAGTCAGCAGCAAGGCCAAAATAAAGTAACAACTCACATTGAGATGACAGTGAGAAAGTATCTTTAAATTTATAATTGCCCTTGGATCTATTTAATTTAGCTTTAAGTCATGAGGCATAATTGAGACAAATGGTTACACTGAGTAGGTATCAGATATGACAAGAAGCTGGCTGTGATTATTTTGTCGACTATTTCTATGCAGGGAATTTTTCTGCCAACACTTCTCCTATGATGGCTATTAAATTTTATAGGATTTTTCCCACCATTAGCTGTAATGGCATTTGCATGTTAAATGCTCACGACAAATGAAAACCATGATTCCATTGTTTCACAGGGTGAAAACCATGGTTACTGCTATTCTGAGTAGAGAACAAATCTAAAAAGAATCAGGTAATTCCTCCTCCTCGTATGATACCTATATAAGCTCTGTGGGAAAGCCTATTTACTTTGCAACTCTGTCTCTTCTGCAATATTTTTGAGACAAAATAGATTCTGCACATGTAAGAAAACTGGATTCCACTACAAGCCAAGCAGAAGACACCTCAAGTGTTATTTTTGTTGAGGGAATTTGTTTACAATTAGATACAATTCTCCCTCAAGCACACTTCACTAAGAAGCTCCCACTTCATCATGGGACTAGAAGGGAAAAGCTTAATAGCTACTTAGGTTTTTTTGGTTTTTTTAAAGAAAAGAAAATATGACAGAACTCTAGGACTTGTGTCTAAACAGTCTAAACAATACCAGATTATGAAAACAACATGAAAGGCATATACTAAGAGTTTCTTAGTCAATTTTATTCTCTGAGAAAATTCAGCAACTAGTTCTGAAAATTTGGGGTTTTGTTGTTCTAGATTGTTACTCTGGATTATTACTTACAAGTAAATAGTTATTCACAGTCATCTAGACCTAGCAAAGCAAGATATAAGAAACTATATATTTATAGATCTATAAAACTATTAAAATATACAACTTCTTGATCATCCTAGATCTTTTAAATTTGGTTCAGCTCGCTCATCATTTCTCTACCATCAATAATTTTTCAAGACACTATGTCCTTCACTGAGAATAGTATTTAAATTTTGTGACTCTCACATTCTATCCACCAGATTCTTTCTCAAAATTTAGTTGTTTTGAGAATGGTTTAGAAAGGAAAGATCTTCAATAGTTAAGATAACCAATATTCAAACCTCTGAATTTTCATTTTAATTTAACTTCTCCCTGATGCCTGTTTTAACTCTTCCTCATCTTCTTCCTGAATATATTTAGTCCAAAGATTTCTAACTGGTAATGTGCCCCATATGAGAGTATGAATTAGTTGGAAATTATATATAATTTCTTATTAAAAGAACATCTTTAAAATTTAGTCAAGTAAATATTTTTTAAATTGCTAAAAGTTATTTTGTCATCTTTTCTTTCTCTGCTTTTTCTCGTCCTCTCCTTCCCCATCCAGTTTTCTGCACTACTGAAAGCAGAATCGAAGGAACGGTAGTTGTGTTTGGCGAGGGAATCAAAAGATGAAATTCATGCACTCCTTCAGCAGGTTTTTGTTTGTTCACTTAATCACCTGATTTTATCTTCTATGTCAAGGATCACAAAAAATTTGTGGTGTATCACTACTGTTTGCCCAAAGTTGTCCAAACTTTGGGAAATAACCTCCCTTAGATCTGGCTTGGTTTGGGGCCATGAGGGGAAACATTATATATACTGTTGGCAACCCTAGATCACAAACCAAGTCCTATATAGTGATAAACATTAGTTTTGATAGGCATTAGTTTTCCTTCTCTGATGACACATAAACACGAGCATATACCAAGTTGAACTGCTCAGCAATCCAAAAGGAAAATGCAACACACTGTGCATGTAGGTATACAATTAACTGTGCTGCTTTGGGCAAATCACTTAACTTCTCTGTGACTCAATTTTCACATCTTTTAAATCAAAGATGATCTTTATAGCTCTGTGATTTTATTCTCCTCTGAACTAGAGAAATGGGTTAAACATCTGTGCATGATAATTCACTTTATTCCAGTGTAAAATTCATAGTCACAAGATTTATTGCCCACTGTTTAGTTTTTCCTAATGTCCTTTCTAGACATATTATCTTCCAAAATACTTCAGGAAGCTTCTCACAACTCAGTTTCTACAAGGTCAATGCAACCTATACATTTTGTTTGTAAAACATTCTCTTTTCTTGCATTTTATATATATTCAACCTAAAAATCATTCCAGCTACTTTGTTACCTGAACAATTTTTGAAACAGAATATTGCATCTTTTGTTACTGCGATGGGAAGTTTCCTACAGTTCTAGGTTTGTCTCAAATAATACTGTGAAAACATTGATACTATTGAAAATAGAAACAGCTTCACTGTTGTTTTCATTTTATGTAATGAACACAGAAGAAAAGGCTCAAATCTGAGAAAGAAAAGGGCATAAGCTAGGATCCTAAGAGGGTTATTTGTTACAAATTTTAAATAGATGCAGTTTGGTTAAGGACCCTAAGCAGCAATGTCAAATCGATTTAAGACATTTAAACATATTACACTCTTTCACACAAGTAGTTATTTGGGTTTCTTTTGGTGTTTTACATACTAACACAGTAAGTTACAAGTAGGTACAGATATGTGGAATTGCATGCTAACTAGCCAAGCCATGACACAGAAAGTTATCAGTGTTAAATGACATTGACCAAATTGCTGCTAATCCCCAAAAAGATCATGCTGGCAACAACACCGGTTCCGGGCATCAAATCCCCAGATATTGGTTCATTTTGTTCAAGGCATCACACACTGTGTTCAAATCGCTGCGAAGGTCCTGCACCACGTTTTCGATACTTCTGGTGTCTTTCAGAATTTCAATACTCTGTGTGTAGGGATTGAAGTATACAGAGAAGGGACGGGTAATTGACTTTGCAAAGTCCCTGCAGAATAAACAGAAATAGAAAAATATACCATCAACCCCCACTGGTACAAGAGATAAATAGAAGGAAGAAACAGAGCCAAAAAAATTAAAAGTTATTTTCCTTAGATGGGAGAAAAGCAAATTTACCTCATCTTTTCTTTGGCTTCTTCAAAACTTTCTGAAACAAAGTAGGCTTCCTGGAAGGTGGTGATAAGGCATTCCTGTAAGCAAGTTGTCTTTGGGTCAAAGGCTTTCACACATGCCTTGTCAGAAAGGGCATGCTGCAAAATACACCACAAAACCCGTTAAACTCCATAATGAGACTTCCAAAGTGCCATGACATCACATTTTACAACACATTTGATAGCTCAGTAATCCTACAGGGCTGCTCAGTTACTAGTCCACAGTGAAATACAGAACTCTCCCGTATGCAGAGTAAATTGGGTATTAGGATTTTGTTTGTTTGTTTGTTTAATTGTGTTAGGTACCGAGGGGGAAATGGGGTTATGGTATTATTTTATTTATTATCAGCTAAATGCTAAATTCATACTGAAACACGGTTCAGAGCTATACTCCAACAAAAGTGGAATTTTAAATCTGTGCTATGAATAGAAACAGGGACAGCATAAATACGCTCCTAAATTTATTGCTATAAGCAACGTACTAAAATTTCACTTAAATGGCAGAAGTAATAATTACCAGCTTAGGGAGGTAATTGGGGCTCTGACTAAACTATCCGTGTGGACTCATTGAGAGACATTTTGAGGCCAGGTACTGTGTACCAACAGAGTCTGGCGTGGGGCTGGATATTTGAGGATACTTGCAAAGCATTAATTTACCTTCCACTAAGTACAGCAGAGCAATATGCAGCAGATAAACATTGCCAGTTGGGGGAAAAACAGCTAATATTAATAGGTACAGTTATACCCAGAGCAGACATTACGAAAACAGGAAAGCTGGGGTAATTACTCTTTGAGCCATCATTAGCTCAGAGCAGCTCACCACATGACTGGCACTAAGAACAGCAGGGAACAATGAATGATTGTATTCTCAAGACAAATTCAGTAATGTTGAAGGTTAGTGGTCATTTCCTGCCACATGCCACCTGCCTATTTATAGACCCTGGATTGATGGTTCTAAAATATAATGTATATAAGGATCACTAAGGAGCTTGCAAAAATGCAGACATCCAGGCCTCAATTTTATTTGGTTGGTCTGGATGGAACCAAGAGATCTGCATTTTAAAGGCATCCAAAGCGACTCTGAGATCATGGTTGTATATTTTGGAAATATTCCTCTTGATTCTATCTTTTCCTTAATTTAAGGGATAAATAAGTTGGGAGAGAGAGGCAGAGAGAGGAAAAGGGTAGCAGAAACTGCCTTGAACAGAGACTTAGGAAGCTGGGGTTAGAAAGCCAGGTGTTGCTACTGTCTAACTAGCTAACTTTGGCAAATCGTTTAACCTCCAATTGCCTCCATCTCCCCCACTGTATAATAAATGAGAGGGTTAGGCTGGATGATTCTGAAGACACTCTGTTCCAGCCTTTGGATTCCACTCACAGCACTTTTCTACCCTCTCAATCTCTAACTGCTAAGGTTTCCTGGAGAAATTCTGAAAACCTTTTCCTGTTCAATATTCTTGGTGCATTCCTCCAACAATTTCAAAATGCATGGAATGATTTAAAGCCCTCCATGAAGAAGTCTGTGGTTTCCTAAGTTTGAAAACGCAATTGAGAACCAAAAGACTGACATGTAAGAGAAAGGGCACACTGCGTGTGATTGGCTTTCCTGCAAAGGTCCGTTGTCCAGATCAATGCATATATGAATCACAGAATGCAGAGGGCTGTTCACAGTGAACTCATTTTTTTGGCCCACAGAACAACCTCATTATAAGCAGAAGGTCACTACACCTGCAAATGCATTTGTGCTAGATTCAATGCAGTGCAGTGAACATCAGGGGATTTTGGTTCCACATGGCCAATAATTCTGTCCACATTTTAAAAACAAATTCACAGTTTCAAGAAACAAAATGCCCTTTATGAGAGCTGTTGCTCCTCTCCAAAAATTGGCTTGCTATTGGTTTGCCATGGTTTTCAGAATTAGAAGTTGCTTTCTTTGCAGCCATACACTCTGGTTACATTTAACTGTGGTATGTTGCTCTACTCGTCTATTCATCCATCAGTATATGTGGAAGGAAGGACAGTGGCTGAATCAGGGCCTTTGACCTTTCTTCTCTCTTATCCCCACATTCAGGGGTATGGACAGAGTGGTAGCAGAACAGGTTATAAGAACATTTAAGCCATGGCTCCCCTGGGACATCTCTGCTAAAGATGATGTCCCCTGGGACATGATGTTCCCTGAGTCAAGGACAAGCTCAAGAAGGAAGCGAAACTCATCTGCTTGGGTCTCCAATGCTTCTCTAGGATGTTAGCAACCTTAGCAGCCACCACGTGTGAAAGATGCCTCCAGAATGGGTATATGCAATAACAGAGACTGAAATCAGTGTGGTTTTAGAAAAATGCATCATGTGACAATTCTACTGGATAGTCAGATACTCATTTAGTCATTTTAACAGGTAAAGGGGATTAAAGTAGACCAAGAAAAGGCCCAGAGGGCAGGGTGCTCTGCCCCAGACTTCAAGAAAAATCAGTGGGTTCACAGCACGTAATTTGAGGCAAAGATCATTAGGCAGTAAAGATCACATTTTCCTAATGTAATATTTAAAGGAAAAACTGGAAGTTAATGTGTTTTTAGCTCTCAAAAATGCAGTCTGTCCTCAGGAGCCTGCTGTCTATGTGATATGCTGGTTACCTGCTGGGGACCTCTCCAGCAATGAAGTGTGAAACCAGTGTTGCTCCTTGGCTGTTAATAAATACGGGGGTAATAATGGTACCCATGGTACCCAGTAGCCAGTAGAATGACAAGAGCTTGGAATTGGGGGAGGAGCCAGTGAATGAGACCAACAAATGAGGTGGTGATCACACCTATAAATGGTCTCATTTACCTGACAATGAGTTGTCCTTTGTGATGACTGCCAAGAGCATCCGCACAGCCCATGACGTTTTCTATCCCTGAATACTATATAGTGTGGCCCAGGGAGTATAAAATAGCATCCATGTCTCCCTTGATTCCAAAGTCCACTGCCCAGTGGAGAAGCCCTGCTGAGTTTGCTTCCCAATTCCTATCCATGTCTCTCTCTCTACTGAGCTGCCTCAGAATTGGGGAGCAACTATTGTGCTCTGTCCCCTATGCCCAGAGTGGATTCTCTATAAACATTGAGCCAAACTCTTTGATGTGCCCAGGAAATCTGTGGTGATTCCTTCCTGAAGTGTTCACAGTCTCATATCCTGAAGTCTGCAAGAATTAATCCAACTTCCTGCAAAGAGACGCTTTATGAGGCTGGCAGAACCTGGCTGACAGTCTTTTACTCTCAAGCCACTTTAAAAGTGCAGGGATGTTTGAGAGCCACCTTGTCGCATCTGAACACTCTCTAAAAGGACTATTTTGGGGTTGCCCATAGTGCTAAAGACAAGGGCACAGGACTGGGAACCAGGAGACCTGAGTTCTAAATGTAGCTGTCCCAGAGGCTAGAAGTATAATGTCAAATGAGTGAAACTACCCCACGTTGGGTTGCAGTTTCCTCTTTGATAAACTGAAAAGATTGACCTACGTGAATTCTAACGCTCTTCTTGCAATACAATTTTAACAGAGCCTGCAAATATAGAGCACTCACACCAACACCGCCTCCCTCCACTCCAGCCATCATAAACCGGCCATCAGCCTTGCCACTGGGCCCGGGGATGACCTCCACATAGGTAGCCAATTAATTGGCTATCAATTAATTGGCTATCAATTAATTGGCTTTAGTGCACAAGTTCAGACTTATTTTCCATTACAGCTTTTTGAATATAAAAATTTGTTTTCAACATTAAGAATTTCCCAGAACCCAATTGTTACTAGAAAATATTATAAGGTAATTAAGAGTATAGGTCATTAGGATAAAGAATTGAGGTTCAAATCTGGCTCTCTCTCTACTTAACTATAAGACTTTGGGCAAGTTACCTCACCTCTGTAAGCCTATTCCAGTATTTATTTGGAAAATGGGAATACTAATAGCATCTACAACTCAGGGTCATGGTCAGAATTAAATGAGGTAATGCATGCAAAATGCCTGGCAGGGGAAGTGCTCAGCACACTAGCTATCATCACTAACTCAGTCCAGAGGCGATGGTTCATGTACATATGTATTCAGCTACACCTCCTACCATTGTGCAGCTCCTCTCTCTCTCAGAGGTCTGGAACCCACAGAGAAAGAAACATAGCCCTAGTCATGAGGCTTGTAGGTCCTAGACTGCAATAGCACCTGCCCTGGGTTCATCAGTTTAAAATCTTCCTTCCTCCCAGACACCTGCTTTTGCAATGACACAGAGTTATTATCTCAACTATTCTAAATGCAAACCCTGTGATCCTCACTCTCTATATTAGGACTGGTTAAAGTTGGAAAAAAAAATCTCAAGTGTGAAGTCAGGTTTATGGGTAGTTTGGGCCCTAGATTCTGAATAAGAATTTGCAAACACTCCTATGCTCACACCAAAATCATCTTTTCCCACATCAGAACAACAATAAATATATACGTTTGTATACATATAGACACATGATATGGGCATGTATGGAATATTTTTTGAACCTTCCTCAAATGCTCATCCTGCTAACCAATCACAACATGGCATCAATATCCCTGGTGCCAAATTGGGCAATGAGGCATTACGCTTTTTTAAATTAGTGATGCTGAAGTTTCCGCCAGTTTGAATAAGCTACAGGGGCAAAGGAACAACCTCTGTCTCCAAGTAATCCTTTTGTAATGGCCAAAGACACAGTTTCCAGCTCCCATTGTCCAGTATTTGTTCTGTCATTACTATCAGTGCCAGCTTCACGAGAAGGAAGGGGAGGAGGAAGGATGTCGTGAGCCATCCGAACAGGGTAAAGGTGTGGAAGCTCACAGCAGTGAGTCCTAATTCCAGCCACACCACTGACCTACCAGATGACCTCAGAGAACCTGCAAGCCCCTTAAGCCTCTTCTCCACATCCTGGCAGAAATTCTAAACACCTACCAGAGTTGCTGCAAGTGGTAGTAAACACAAATGCTTGTAATAAATATAAAGCTATTCTGAGAATGCTGATTAATAGCTACATGAAGGCGATACAATAAATTTACCATGCAAAAATATTCTAAAACCAAAGCCAAAAAATAATAATAAGTAATTTTTTAAACCATCAGCTTTGTCAAAGCTTAAAAAGCAAAACAGATGTATTTGTATGTAATATTCAAGCCACTACCATGTGGTAGGTGCTAAGGCTAAATTATTTATCAAAAAAATCTGATCTCTGGCCTGAAGGAAATACAGTTCTAGACTTTAATTTTGCCCACGAAAAAAATAAAGTAGAAATTGCTGTTTGCTTTTGAGATGGGTTAACTTTTTGAGATAAGACTCAGCCAATTCATTGGTTAGCATTCATTTCCTTACCACGTGAAGTGAACCAACTTCATTGTTGCTTCTCCAAGAGAGTTGAGTTCAACAAAGATCCATTATCAATCCCTTTTTTAGAACTTTCCCATTAGACTCCAAGCTCCTTAAAGTCTTAGACCATCAATTTTGTGTTTGTTAAATAAAATGAATGAATAAGCAAGCAAATAATAAGTGATAAAATGATAGACATATAGTTAGATCAACTCTAGGAGAGAAAAAGCACATGAAAGGAAGATGCAAGCTAGACTGTGGGTAAATGGCAATGAATTATCCTTTTCTCAACCTTTTTTTTTAAGTCAGTGTTCCAGATGACTTAGCTCGTTATTAATTGCTCTCCACAGTGATGGGAGATATGGAAAAGCCCCACCCAGACACACTTTTGAAATTCCTCAAAGTATACCAGAGAACAGATAATAAGAACAAAAGAAAGAGCAATCATTACTCAGAGGAAAAAGTAGTCCTTATGGTTATCAAATTTACATTAGCTTTTATAAGCTTTTCCATATTTATTTTGTTTCTGCCTTCAAAGAAAAAAATAAGCATTGTCAAAAAAATAAGAGGAGAAAATGAAAGTTATCCAAACTATAGATCCACCACTTGGAAGTACTTGGCCAGCTCTGAAGAGCAACATTTATGCCTCAGGAAAATTTAGCCTCTTATAGCACAAATTTTAGAATGTGTTCTATTGAAGAAGAGAGGGTGAATTTTGCATACTTAGGAAAAAGCTATGAAGATTACACCAAAACCTCCAGCAACTTAGCTAGGACCTATGTTTGGGCTGCAGTTGGAACAACATAAAATATTTTACTGCAGGAGGTAACTGCATTCAAAACTGCAAGCATGTTTACACTGGAATTATGATAATGCTATTAATAAAGTTACCCATACGTTGGTCCACAACCAGCACTTGTTCATTCAAATGGAAGAAGTATTCAGGAGTGCCGTGAGAGTACTGGGTGCTTTCACAAGCAGGGCAGGGAGATGATGGGGGAAGGGGCTCTAAGGAAAGCTTCTCATGTTTTGTACTCTCTATGAACAATCAGAAGATATTTCTTATAGGAAGAATTTCCGAATTGTAAAAATAGCCCAACGTAGCAATCACAGAGATGTCGGAGTGCTGAAATTTGAGAGTGGAAGAACGCTAATGACTGGAGGTGATGGACCAGAACAACAAGATGCATGGCAGACAGTGCCCTTCAGTGTACATATTTCTGGCTGATTTCCATTTCCAGACGATTCTGTCCGCACCGATAGGAACAAAAACAACAGATTCACCCCAGCGCTGCCTACACATGCCTCATTAACCAGACCAGAAGACCCTGTCGAAAGGTGGGGCCATGAGGGAGATTTGTTTCTTTTGTTTCTGGTGTAATTTATATACCATCTGAGGAGAATGTAAATAGATGTAGCTCAAGAGCTACATCATTTTCTGACTCTTTTTTCAGGGAAATCAAGCAGCACTTTATAGAGGGCATGGTCTCATGGGGATATGACATCACGCCATTGCTGCGGGCTTTGGCCACTGTGCTGAGATTAACCTCCAATGGGTTTTTTGTTGAGCAATTTAGTAAAAAAAAAAAAAAAAAAAAATTATCACATTACATCAGGTTTTCGTTAGGTTGAACATTATCCTCTATTCCAGCCATGCTGAGCCTCAGACAGTTCCCTAAATGGGCCAAGCTTTAACAGAAGTCCAGGTGGTGCACACACTGTTGTCCACTGACTGACCTGTGCATCTCATCCTTTTCTTACTTACCCTTTCCATCCCTCAAGAATCAGCTTGGACAGCAGGGCCCCAGTCAGGAAGCTCTCTCAGGCATGGTCTAATATGTGCCAGTCACATTTGTCACACCTTTGTATTATCTGATTGATTGTCTATCTCTTGCACTAGAATGTACTGTAAACTCCTCGATAGCAGGGATCCCATGCAGATTAGCATACTGGTTAAAAGCTGAGATTCCAGAGCCTAGACTGTCTGGATTTGGGACCAGCTGCAACACTTAGTAGCTGTGTGATCTTAGGAAAGTTCCTTAATGTTTTTATGCTTCAGTTTTCTTATTTGCAATAATAATATCACGTATCACACAGGGTTGTTATGAGGATTAAGTGGAATCACCAGAATACCAAGGTCTATTTAAATGCTTGTTCAGGTGGTGGTTGTTATTTTCTTCTTATTCTTATTCTTTATCATTTTTTTTTTTTGATCCCCAGAGCCTGGCACAGTATATAGCACATCGTAGGTGCTCAACTAAATGTTTGAGGAATTAATGAATGAATGGACTCATAACATGAGCAGACTCAATAAAACTACAGTTAAATTATATCTTTCAAGAATACAAACAACCAAAAAGTTCCAATAACTATATACTTCCCAATTATATTAAAGATAATCAATGCTCAAAATAAAAATTCTAGTATAATCTATAATCCTGATCTTAGTCTGAATAACCAAAGAAAGATTAAATTATTTCAGTACCATTTCCAGATTATATGTCACATTACATTCTAAATTCACTAAAACTTGCTATCCCCCAGCGGTATAAATAGCAATTCTTAAATAACCAGAATAGTTAAATTATCAGAATTTTCCAGGTCCCAAAATTCTTGAATAAATGATCATTTTACTGCATTTTAAGACCAAAAAATAGCATTTCCTAGGCATCATTGCATGTATTAGATACCACTCTGACAATAGGTTTATTTAGTTTGTTTCTATTATATATGCCCACATGTGTATTAATGCACATTAATTTTGAAGAAGCTGAAGTAACCTCAAATTCCCCTTGAGGAAGTACATCTTGGGGAGTCCAAGGGATCCAGGGAGATGACAGAAATCAGAGTATCCAAACCACACCCATGAGTGAATTTCAAACAATAGGATCACTGCTCTCATTGCCCACTTTCAGTACTAAATTTAAGCCAACCATTTGTTACCCAACATTTGAGCATACATTTGTCGTTCCTGTTGATTTGTGCACATGGCTGCTCATCCATTTGAGTCACACTATGAACTCAGAAAGGCATGACCCATTTTCAGAAGTGCAAAAAGGTCGGCACCCACATCTGAGGTGCCAGATCCTCTATATTAAATATGTATGGGGTATCTGTGAGTAGAAATGCTCAGACAAACAAATCGATATTTTCTATGACCTTGAAGCAGTTTGCTTGGGATGGATATGTTCTTTCACAGCTTCATACCTTTAATTCTCCAATGGAGGAAAGGAGTCCTGCTCCATATGCCCGCAGTTGTCCCTCTTGCTTGCAAAGGCCAAACTCAATTGTGAAGAAATAGCACTAAAAAAAAAGAAAAGAAAAATCCAACAAACTCATCAATGAGCCCTCTGATAGAATAAAGTGGCCCCCAAATAAAATGGTGCACTGTTCATAATTTCTCAGCATTATCAATTTAAATACATTTAAATCAAGACATTTATTAAAACCTATTTTCTTGCTTACCATTCCCTCCCTAGGTTTAAGGTATGTGGGAAAGTATTAACTACTAAGAATCTTATGCCTTCTGGATTCAGAAACCCTCTGGGTCAAATCATATCCCCTGCAATAACTTTAAAAATAAAAAAAAAAACACAGATTTAGAAATGAATGAATATATTGCAATGATAGCACCGTAAGAATATTCTATATATTTACTGAATTGTATTTCAATGACATAAATAAGTTCATATAAATGTGGAAAAAGAAATTGGAATCCAGTAATCCTAAACTGATTTTTGCAGTTTGTTTATTCATGCAACAAACATTTGAGTCCCTACTAGGTGCCAATGCTTGGTAAAGAATTGTGGTAAAGAAACAAGAGAGAGATCAAGAAAGTGAGTATCTGTATATGCCTACCAGATTACCAAAACCAAATCTTAGTATACTTTTCAGTGAAATCTTAAATGTATGCATATGTATATGCACGTATAGATTGATATATGTATTTGTGTGTACATACACACACACACAGAGATGCTCCTTGATTTACGATAGGGTTATATCTCAATAAACTCATTAAGTTGAAAATATATCCTAAGTTGAAAACGCATTTAATACATCTACCTCAAACATCATAGCTTAGCCAACCCTACCGTAAACAGGCTCAGAACACTTACATTAGCCAACAGTTAGGCAAAAATCATCTAACACAAAGCCTACTTTATAATAAAGTATTGAAAAGATCAAAATTTAAAACTCAAAGTATGGTTCCTATTGAACGTATATCACTTTCACACCATTGTAAAGTTGAAAAACCATAAATTGATCCGTCGTAAAGTCAGAGGTTGTGTGTGTGCGTGTGTGTGTACATACACACACCTATACAAATATAAATATAAAGAACCACTTCACTGGCCTAAGTTTTATCAGCCTCAACTACTACAACTTCCTCAGGATGTTAAAATCTACGATTGCTTCTGTTGGATTTAAGAAATCAACCTAGACAGACAGAAATCTCTGGACAACCAAAGAACAAACTCACGACGCTGTTGGGATAGGCTGAAATCACCCTATTTTTGCTCTGAGAGAAAAGTGAGAAGCCGACAATGAGCAATAAAAACTGCATCAAATTAACACTGTCCTGCGTTAGTGCTGATAGAGGGCTGAAGGTGTTGAGAAAGAGGAGAATTTAAACACTCTTGAAAGGAGGCAGAAAATAATAATTATTTCTAGCCCATGGCAGTTTGCTCTATTTTTATTTGGAGGTTAAGATGTCCCTTGGTTCAGGAGACACTGGACTGCACTTACAGGACTGCTCGTTTCCAGGTTACGGAGCTTAACCTCCCTTTCCTGATTCACCCCCCAAAGAGGCCAAAATCACAGCCCTTCCTACCCGCATCACAGCCCACAGCACCTACCAGCAATCCTCCTTACTCCATTCTACCTTTTCTTTCCTTCCATCACAACACTTTTTGCCATACTCTGCAATTTCCGTATGATACATACTGTTTGTCATCTGTCTCCCCGCACTCACAAGAGTAGTGAGTGAATGGTAAGATGACATGGGCTAGGGCTGGCAGGGAATTGGGAGAAGAGAGTATCGCAGGGGCCTCACAAGAAGAAACAAGTGAAAAGATATGAATATATGTTGAAAAGTTAAAATACAGCCCTCAAGTCTGTCCTCCAAAATATTTTGCATAATCCTGAGCACAATGAAGAGAGGTAATAGGCAGTCCTAGAACAAAAGGTTTGGAAGCCACGTGGGAGTTCAGCTCTCCTATTTTACCAGAAGGAAAACTCAAGTTGAGGAAAATAAAGTGATTTACCCAGAACCAATATAGACAGTGACATTTAAGAGATCTAGAGCTTAGGATTTTAAAAAGCTTGACATCAACATCTGTCACATTTTAAAGTTCCTAGATAAAAAATTAATAGATGAATGATTTTACGTTACAACCAAATAATGGGGAAATAAAAGTCGAAAATGGAGAAAAACTAGAATCTCGTGGCATCTTCCTAGTGTGCCTCTGGCTGATTTCCCTAATTTATATTGCATTTATAGTACCTGACACGAAATCCTTGGAGCCTTAATGTTGAATACAGAAAAGCTTGTGGAAAAAAAATGTGCTGTCATGTTCAAAAGCATCCAAAATACACATTTGGAGCCAGCTACAGGAGCATTTAGGTCAGCCTACTAAGCGCATTTTTAATTTTCCTTATGCTACATCAATGTGTACATAATGCATGGTCACAGTTATGATCCAAATCAAAACAGGCTGACAGAGCCTCTGAGAAAATCTGTTGTTCCATACACACAGTATTCACATACATTTGCCATCCCATCCTATTTTAAGGCAGGAATTAAAAGGTCTGCATCAATTCGGCTGCAGATTCAAAGCTAAATCTCTCACTCAGTGTGTCTTTGGTTAACATGTTTCTAGAAGCAGGGCAACCTCAGAGGAAAGAGCCACTGTGCTCAGAATGCTGCCTGGCCCCAGACGTCATCTGGGAGCCCTTCCAGAAACTCTGGCCTTATACAGCACCATCTGCTCATTCCCGATCTAAGTTTTCCTTTGGTTTCCTGCTGTCCTCAACCAAGGAAGGCCCCTAGATGCTGCTTCTACAGCCCCCTCTCCTCTGAGAATTCGACCTTTTGCTTTGAGACAGTTTTCCATTTGCTGCTCTATGTGCAACTAAAAGAGAAAGAGAAACAGTAAACAGCACCAGAACCTCAGATATTGGCAAAATTCAAATTACAGACTTGCTTGCTCAGGATAATTTTTCTCTTTCTATTTTCAATACTGATGAAGACCTCAAAGTGCACAGGGCATGATCACTGATCGGGGCAGGGGGCAACCACACATTTCTACTGTCTGGTTTTAAATGCTAAGCCTGCTTCCAGCTGAACTGAATGACCCCTTGAAGACCCTTTGGAATTTGAGGATAATTAATTGCTTCATGAAAATTTAAGAAAATATAATTATTTTTCCTCAGAGAACTCTCCAGATGTGGATCTGTAATATATTCCTCAGAGATTTGCCAAACAAATATCCTACCTATTATCAAAAAATTAAAAAAATAAAAAAATATCCTGAGCCTCGTTAAGAACACCTGCAAAAGAGAACCGCAGATTCTTGGCCACTGATGTCTTTTCAACAGAAACAAATAATAATACTAACACTTCCCAAAGTGAAGGGTATCTTTCATCAAAGCTGATGTTTTCTGAATTCCAAATTGTATATACCATTAATAACATGTAATGATTTATAAATATTTTATTTGAATATAATTACATACAATCATTAACTGAAAAACAAAACAGGAATGATAGATCAGACCTTTTTCATAGAAGAAAAGCAGAGTCATTTACATATAAACAGTCATTAAGCAGAAGAAAGCCTGAGTGACACTCTGAAATCCAAACACTGCAGTGGAACAGCACGTGTGCTTGGAGAATGAGATAGGTCGCCCAATGCTGCCATCTTCAGATTGTTTCTGGTAGTGCACCATTCTCACAGCAGTTCTGGTCGAGCCAAAAAGGCAGCGGTAAAAGCTTGAGGGAACCAAGTCTGCAGACACGAATCACATCAACAAAGCACGTAATGGTCCCACATGGTGATTTATGAAGGCACTCCATAAAGCACCCTTTTTATGTTTGGTGTTAGGTATCTGAAGCTCTTGCTAAGTTCCCATACTCCAATTAAAAAGATATATGACTTTGTCAAGGAACTCTTGATGGGAAAGAAATTTAGTGTTCCAATTTCCCTCTTAAAGGGTTCTTTTGCCTCTCTCCTCTCACACCCCCCGCATTCCTTGAAATAATGACATAGCCTCTTCTGGAGAGTCATTCTATAGTCACAAGTTAGCTTAAAATGGTACATACAAACTGCTAGGAGAAAACCCCAGTTCCTATTTCTTTCACTTTCTCCAGGAAATTGGCTTACACACGTCATTTCATAAATGCCTGAGTGCGCGAGTGAGTGAAGGAGTGATATATCTACTCTACCACCTTCCCTAAAAATTTGATCTTGCATATTGGTAGCATATATTTTAAATAATCACATACATCATTTCACATCTAGAATTCTATTATTTACATATCCAGTGCACAAACAGGAAGCAAGACGTTATCAAAGAGAGCTTGAAAGAGCCCTAACTGAGATGTGCCAAACGTAACAAAAAGTTATGTGCTAAATTTGGTGTACTTTACTTACAAGAGAACCCCTCGGGCTCTCAGTCAGACCCTATTGCACATAGTTCTAACAAAGCTTCCAAACTATGCCCTCACATATGAGGGCAGCAAGGAAAATATACAAAAAGCAGACTCGAAAACTCAAAAAGCACTGAAATATAATATTTGGTGCTCGAATAAATAATTCTAGATGTTTCCGTACTCGAAATTATCACTGAACAACAGAATTCAACAATGATGCTAAAATATTAAGATAATAGAGAAACTTAGCCAGAAGAAGCCTTCCTGGTTTAACAAAATGTTCTCAGATATGTTCTCTTACTACACATTTGTGAAGTAGATACAGCAGTTATTATTTCCATTTTATAGATGGGAAAACTGAGACTCAAGTTCAAGTGATTTACGCAGGTTTCCACAACTAATGATTGCCAGAGCTAGGAATCAGGCTTAAGTTTCCCACCTTCAAATCTAGCATTCTTTCCTCATCAGTAACTGTTGATGCAGAGCCACTATCAGCCAAACTGGCACAGCAGTTCCTGTTATGGAAACACCGAAACATTTCTAGAATGGGTGTAAATAGCTATAGCCCCACACTCCCCAAGTGCCCCCAGCCACCCACACTGCCCCAGCCCCATTCTGGGTTTCATCTCCCACACTGTCCCCACCACCT